GACGGGGTTTCACCGTGTTGACCAGGATGGTCTCGATCTCTTGACCTCGTGATCCACCCGCCTCGGCCTCCCACAGTGCTGGGATTACAGGCTTGAGCCACCGTGCCCGGCTAAATATTGTTAATACAGTATAAGAAATCAATAAGTTCAGAATTTTAATAGAGTTGTTATTTATTTATTATTTATTCATTTATTTTGTGATGGAGCCTCACTCTGTCACCCAAGGTGGAGTGCAGTGGCACAATCTCAGCTGACTGCAACCTCCGCCTCTCAGGTTCAAGAGATTCTCGTGCCTTCGCCTCCCAGGAAGCTGGGATTGCAGGCACCTGCCACCACGCCTGGCTAATTTTTGTATTTTTAGTAGAGACAGTTTTGCCATGTTGGCCAGGCTGGTCTTGAACTCCTGACCTCAGGTGATCCACCTGCCTCGGCCTCCCAAAATGCTGGGATTAAATGCATGAGTCACTGTACCCGGCCAGATTTGTTATTTAAAAGCATCTCTATTTTCTTTATTTTTACTTTACTTTTATTATAGTCAAAATTATATACTCTTTTCTTAATCGTAAAGTAAAAGTCTATACATGTATTTCTGTCCATACCATTCTTTGAGCAACCCAGGTATAATTCCACATCAATAAGAAAAGGTTTCAGAGAGACCTCCAGGAAAGCTCATCATCAGGAAAATGTTCTCCGCACTAATCTTTGACATGTTTTCCTTAAGCTGATTTGAATTTTATATTCTCAGATAATAGATGAAATTTGAAATATATTACAACTACTTGCTTTGAAGTCCATTTTACTTTAGATTACAGGATGAGAAAGTGAGATTCCAGTTGAATTTGACAATCCAAATTCTTCTTAAACAAGGACAAGTAGAACTGGAAAATTTCCAGCTAGTACTGGAGTATGCTGATGCAATTCTCATCAACAAGAACATAGTTGAAGACTTGAACTCTGTGATTCGGGTAATTATACTTTTTTTTTAAGACAAGATCTTGCTTTGTTATTCAGGTTAGAGTGTAGTGGCACAATCATGGCTCACTGCAGCCTTAACCCCTGGGCTTAATAGATCCTCCTGCCTTCACCCTGAGAGTAGCTGGGAGTACAGGTTCGCACCACCACACACGACTAATGGTTTTACAATTTTTTTTTTGTAAAAACAGTCTTAATATGTTGCCCAGGGTGATCTTGAACTCCTGAGCTCAAGCGATCCTCCTGCTTTGGCCTGCCAAAGTGCTGGAATTACAGGCATGAGCCACTGCACCTGGCCAATTATACTTTTTTAAAAAAACATAATGTATTGCCTGCCTTGTCAAATATTTTTCATTATTCTCCCATTTTCATAAGTAATTTTAGTTCAATTAAGTCAGCGATTTCCTAACTGTGGCTGCAGATTAGAATCACTTGAAGAACTTGATAAATGTGCCCAGACCCCCCACCCCGGGCATGAGTATTTATTAAAAGTTCCTCCCTCCTCCATCCATAATTCCTTTTTTTTTTTTTGGAGACAGAGTCTCACTGCAACCTCCGCCTCCCGGGTCAAGCAGTTGTTCTGCCTCAGTCTCCCGAGTAGCTGGGACTACAGGTGTGAGCCCCAATGCCTGGCTAATTTTTTGTATTTTCAGTAAAGACAGGGTTTCACCATATTGGCCAGGCTGGTCTCGAACTCCTGACTCATGATCTGCCTGCCCCAGCCTCCCAAGGTACTCGGATTACAAGCGTAAGCCACCTCGCCCAGACCTCCCTCCATAATTGTAAGGTTCAGGAAGGATCACAGAGCTAAATATTCATTCTAGTATGCCATCATTTTGTTAGGCCCAACCTACTCACACAAAGATAATCTTAGGTAAGCTTGATTCGTTGATTTCAGTCCTTGCTTTTTTTTCTAATATTAACATTTGGTGTTATAAATTTCCCTTTAAGCTTTAGGTATAATTGAGTCCTAAAAAAAATTTCCCTATAAGCTTTACTTTATTTATATTCTACAAATTTAAAATTTTGTGTTTTAATTTTCTTTCCATTTAAATATTTTCTAATTTCTTTTGTAAGTTCCTGTGTGACTCATGGGTTATTTAAAAGTTTGTTATTTAATTTTTTTTTTTTTTTTTTGAGACGGAGTTTCACTCTT